ACCTGCTTCCCTTTTCCTCCTCTGCCGTATCCTGATGGGCCTGTTGGCTGAGCAAGGCAGTTGCTGCAGTGGCTGCAGCTGCACATTTTGGTGGCCAGTTGTCCCATTATTAAGTTTATTTGTACATTTTGGGGTGGGGTGCCCTTTGGATTTTCTGCTTGGGCCACCCCAAAATTGGAACCCATCTCTGTCCGCAAGACTCCTGCTGGATCAAATTAATGGCCAGGAGCTTTTGTGGTCCCTGGGCAGGAAGAGACTGTCAGGAACCTCTTAATGCTTTCCCTCCCCTTTGCTTCCCTTTTAGTTTGGAAGCCTGCAGGCAGGAGCCGTTCCTACTTCATCATCTGAAGCTGCCCTTACAACTGGGCCAGGCAATTTGGTCTGTCTAGCACGGCCTAGATCAGCTTTCACCAAAATGCAGATCAGCTTTGGAGCTGATGAGGGTTGCAGCACAAAACATCCTCGGGGCACTAGGTTGGTGAAAGCTGATCTGGCACAACATTGCCTACCTCTCCCTGACATGCTGCTTTTGTGTGTGTTAGATTACTAGTAGCAGCAGCAGCCGCCACAGTATTTAATGGAGAAGCATCTGATGGTGTGAGCTCTCACCTGCATCCAATGTAACACATCTCCCTGACATCCTATGTGAGGAGGACCTATGGAAAGATTCAGACATCTGACCAACACAAAGTCTGAAGTTGTACAGCATAGGCAGTGAACCACTCAAATCTGTGCACCATTCTGGACACAGGAAAACACCCCCCTCCCCATTTTATTCCTTTATTTTGGGCTTGGGTCTGTTTGCTCTGACAAGACAGACAGAAGTCCCCTCTGACAGGCTATTGCTCTCTTCCCAGCAGCTTCTTGCATTTCGCTCGCAGTTTCACTGTATCCCTTTTGTCTTGTTTGCAGGAGAAGAACCCTCAACTGGGGTTGATTGTTTATTGTTCTTTCCCCCTCCTCCTGCTGTCAGAGTAGTGCTAGTCTAATCCGAGGCACACAATTCAGCTGCCGCTGGTTGTTTTTTTTTAATTCTCTCCTCCCCACTCCGCCAGCATCCAGCTTCCTTGCTTCTTCCTCCAGTCTCTGTCATTCCTTGTAGCAGCTCATCTCACAAGTCAGAATCTGGGAGATGTCCCTCTGCTTTATGGGGCAGATCCTGCCTCCAAGTACAAGGGACGGGAGTGCTGGCTGAAGGTGGCTGTGAATCAGGTATACTCTCTCTCCAGGTGGTAGCTTGTGGCTGTGGGTGCTCTGCTTGTCTTTGTGTCTAAGCTCTCATTGATTGTTTGATTGCTCTCTGAATATTGCTGAGAATGTGTCTTGGGAGATTGGAAGCGCTTTGCGAGGAGAGAAGAAGGGTGAACTCGCTCGATCTGGGGGTAATGCTTCTAAACCGTTGAAACAAAGTCAAGGAACTGAGGGTGATCAGGGTTTTTGTGCCCCCACTGAAGAACAGATCCACACTCTACATTTAAAGCACATTCACAGACATTTGGAGCACATGACTTCCCCCAGAGAATCCTGGGACCTGTAGTTTCCCCTCATAGAGCTACAGTTCCCAGCACCCTTAAACTACAATTCCTAGGATTCTTTGATGGGGAGAACCCTGTGCTTTTAATGTGCATTGGATATACTTTAAGCGTGTGGTGTGAATAAGTTATTCCAGTTGCTGTCAGATGCCTAGCTGGCTGGACATCACCCAACAGGCCAAGGGAGCAAAAGAACGAACTAGGCAGAGCAAAAATTTGATCAGGTGTGAGTGAGGAAGTCCTCGCTTGCAGACAGACTAGGGGGTGACCTGCATTAGGAAGGGTTTATATAGAACTCCCACTGGCATCCAGTCAGAATGTAAGGCTGGGAGCCAATCAGGACACGGAAGGTCCTTGTTCCAACAGGGGAAGTTGGAGAACTTCCCATGAAGGATGAATGGCCGAAGTCTCTGTCTCTAGAGATGAGCAGAACTCGACTCCCACCTAAGGAGACAGGCACTATTTGTATAGGATAGTGACAAGTTGGTCTCATACATTGGGTGCCTTTGTTTGAACTTAAATTGAAAAATCTGAACTTCTCATCAGCAGTCCCCTAAAACATCTGGGTCCCTCTACTTAACTGCTTGCTGTTTGAAATTTTAATGAATTTTCCACTCAGGATTCATTTTCTGAGTCAGGTTTTTGCCCAGCATTAATACATTATTATTCACTCCATCACCTTTTGGCCTGACGGATTAAAAAGAAGGCTTTTGATGTGGATTCTGGGTTATTTCCCACCCACGTATGACTTTGTATGTGTTGTGCATGGGTTCCAAAATGCTTTTGCAGGGAGAGGAGTTGATGAGAGGAAGGAAATTCTTTGGGCTTCTCTTTCAGAGGTGTGATTAGTGTGGTCAGTGTGCCGGCTGAACCTGCTTGGGATATGGGTCATTTTTGCGGTTCCTTAGAGGGTTTAGCATAGTTGACTGCTGCTCTTGCATTGCCCCATCTCTTTTCTGCTTCCCCTCCATTTGGCAGATGTGGTTGTCAAAGATCCGCCCCCCCCCCCAGTTCGTAAATCAGAAAGGTTTAACATTTTAACATCCCAGGAGTTGCTGGCCTGGATAAGGCACAGGTCTCCCGCTTTAGATTTTCACCCCTCTCTTTTCCACGTACTTCTGGCACATCTGGAATGCATTTTAACCTCCCAGCTGTTGTACGGTGATAGCTTGATTACACACCGCCGGGGAAATTGGAGATTTTTGGGTTTTTTAAACCGTGTATCAAAAGTTTTGCACTGCACACTACTTTTTTCAGGGAAGTCGTCTGGGAGAATTCTTGATTGCCCACAGGGGGCCACCTCACAGTCTGGCTAATAATTGCTGCAACTTAAAAAACAAAAAAGCACACACATCAAGTTTCTAGTCCTTACTTTGAAAGCTCTTCAGCTTTTGCTTTCCCCTTAGGCCCTTACAATGACTCTTTGCTCTCAAATGAAGGCTGTGTGCACATGGAATTTCCAAGTGGATTAAATGCAGCCCATGTATGTGTGTGCTTTTTGCTTTGCCTGCACACTGTCATTCTCATTGGAGTGGCAGCCTTTAATCCCTGCCCACATTTAATTCGTATTTTCCCAATCTGTAGATAATGCAGTAAAGGGGGGGGCAGGAAATCTAACAGAAAATTGCATGTTACCCAAGTGTGGACATACTGAAGCACATTGTGTAGACAGGAAGTGGGCTTTTCATGTGTGTGGTGACCTTTGGCTGGGTATCATCTATGCCCACATCCTCTGCTTCTGTAGGTGAGGCTCTGCTTGCTGGACTGCTAGAGAGGCTGGGTGTGACATACTTTAAAAAGAAACAAACACTTGCTGTTTTGTGCAAGTCTGGTATATCAGAAAACTTGTGTTTCATAAATAAAAATAAATAATTGGGTATCTCATATTTCTGGAAGTCAGCTGTGTACTCCTTGTACCAACTCTGGTGGTTGAATGCTTATCATTAAATTATCTTCCTAATGATACTGTATTTTATTGTATTATTCTGAAAAAGTCTGGTGTTACAAGTCATTAGACCTAGGAAATAGCAACTTTCCCTAAATTTATCCACAATTTTGGCCACTAGCATAATTGAACTATGTCAGTAATGGCAACCAACTTGGATGGCTTTAAAAAATAATAATAATAATTCACTGAGGATAAGTCTTATCATTGGCTACTAACCCTGATGGTTATGTTGGAGGCAGCAATGTTTCAGTTTCTGGAAACCTCTGGAGGGGAGAGCGCTGTTGCACTCAGGTTATGCTCAGAGGTTTCCCATAGGCATCTGTTTGGCCTCTGTGGAAGCGGGACCCTGGAATAGATGGGCCACTGAACAAGATGGACCACTGACTGGCCTGATGTTCTTAACAAGAATTTTAGGGTTTGAGCTCCAAAGATTCCTGACAGCAGTAGCACGTACCAAAAATGTCCCAAATGGAACACTCAGGATGAAACGGTGGAATCTGCTATGATTAAATGGGCACAAGACGTTGGACATAATATTATGTTTGCTGACTGGGAACAGTTATGGACCACCGGTATGAAATTCACGGCATGTAATGCCTTAAGAGAGAATATTATGAAAATGATATACAGGTGGTACATGACTCCAGTCAAGCTTGCAAAAATCTATCATTTGCCCGATAATAAATGTTGGAAATGTAAGGAAACTGAAGGTACATTCTTTCACCTTTGGTGGACGTGCCCAAGGATTAAGGCTTTCTGGGAGATGATATATAATGAAATGAAAAAGGTATTTAAATATACTTTCCTGAAAAAACCAGAGGCCTTTCTCCTGGGCATTGTCGGCCAATTGGTGTCAAAGAAGGATAGAACTTTCTTTATGTATGCTACGACAGCAGCAAGAATACTTATTGCAAAGTATTGGAAGACACAAGATCTACCCACTCTGGAAGAATGGCAGATGAAGGTGATGGACTACATGGAACTGGCAGAAATGACCGGCAGAATCCGAGACCAGGGAGAAGAGTCGGTGGAAGAAGATTGGAAGAAATTTAAAGATTACTTACAGAAATATTGTAAAATTAATGAATGTTAAAATGATGTTGGATGAAACTTATGTGGTTTTTAGCTATAATGCTATAAGGAGTATGAAAAACAACAACGGGGTATTAACAGTCAAAAGTTAATGTTGCACATTATTCAAGATTAAAGATTAGGATAAACAAAGAGGGGAAGGATTTGCTGAACTAACAAATTGAACTGGAATACAAAAAGGGAGGTGTGAGGAGGTCCGGGGAAAAGCAAATGAAAGAAAGTGATGGAAAGATGGAATTGTTTTTTATCTATTTTTATTTTGTATTTTTCTTTTTTCTTTTCTCATTTTGTAAAATTCTAATAAATATCTGTTAAAAAAACAAAAACAAAAATGTCCCAAATTCACATGTATTAGGTGTGATGTATTCAAGACAATATCAGCTCAATGTCTCAAATCTCTCTCTCCTTATGTCATGTGTCCATTTCAGCAGACTTCCACCAACCACCACGAGAGCAGTAAAGAAACCGCAGAGGTCATTCGGTCGGAAGTGAAAGGCAAGAAGTCTTCAAGCCATGGCACAAGCCACAAGGCCAAGAAGTCAGGAAGTGGGAAAAGCTCGACGGGTTTTGGCACATCCTCTTCCAGTGGGACATTTCCACCTGCAGGTGAAGCATGGGAAGGAACTGGGAGCCAGCAGGGTCAGCCATGACAATGGGCTTCAGTCCATTAATATCAATGAGTCTGTTATGAATAGAACTTAGTTGGATGCAACCTAGCCGTATGAATGTGAGCGCATGCAATTAGACATGCTAAGTCTTTTTTTCAGTTGATGCATTCAGTGTGTGTGGGGGGGTCCCCAGATGTTTTTTGGACTGCAAGTGCCATCAGCCCCCAGCCCACACCACCAGTGGTCAGGGATGATAGGAATTGTAGCCCAACACAATCCAGAAGGAACCACATTGTCCACCTGGTGGGTTTTGCCTTTTCGATTGCAGTCTTCGTCAACAATCCAGCAAATGAGAAGAGCATCTAGTTTTTTTCAACTGTGAGCAGCGAGGCTTTCTCCAGCGGTGCCTTCTGCACCTTTAGGCATTTTGCAAGCAAACAAATGAACACATAGACTTAGATCTGTGACAGCTTTGGCTCTGATGCCTCATCTCTGCCTGCTTAAGGTTTAAGATTTCCCTTGATCCCCTTCCAGGTACCTCATGCAGCTCCTTGCCCTTCTCCCAGGACTTCGTAACCTTCCCAAAGCTGGAGCAGCAGCAGCAACAGCAGCCCGAGGAAGAGAAATACCGCAAGCCTGTCTCTTCCTCCTCGTCTTCCGCTCATTGCTCCCCGTTGTACGAAGGGCAGAAAAGCGACGTCTTTGAGCAAAAGGTGATCTTCTCGGGTTTCGGGTCCATCATGCGCTTCTCCACTTCGGCCGTCAGCCAGCAGAGGGGGCACGACGCTTCCCCCGTAGACTACAAGGTCTCCAACTCTATTGGGGGCACCTCTGGCGGAAGCGGCGGCAGCAGTGGCGGCAGCCACAAGCGGATGCCGTCCCTCAACGTTGAGGAAGGAGAAGTCCTGAAGGAAAAAAAGCACAAAGCCAGCAAGAAAAGCAAACACGGGCCAGGGAGGCCCAAAGGGAGCAAGAACAAGGAAGTCCCAGGCGCCCAGCTGGTAGGATCCACAGCTACGTCGTCTTCGCCCTTCTCCGGGGGGTCCCTGGTCAGCTCCAGCATCGGAGGGTCCTCTCGGTCTTTCAGCCATGCAGCTGCCCTTCCGAGCCTCAGTATGGAATCTCCGCTTCTGGGATCAGGTAGGTACCACAGCCTCTAGGCAGGATGCTGCATATCCTATTGGTTTTGGCTTCTGGTGCAGAGTTCTGAGGCTCTCAGCTTGAAAAAACAAAACAAAAGAAACCAAGAGTGAAGGCAGGTATTTATGTCTATCTATCTAGAGAAATAAGGGGCGTGGGTGGCGCTGTGGGTTAAACCACAGAGCCCAGGACTTGCCGATCAGAAGGTCGGCGGTTCGAATCCCCGTGACGGGGTGACCTCCCGTTGCTCGGTCCCTGCTCCTGCCAACCTAGCAGTTCGAAAGCACCTCAAAGTGCAAGTAGATAAATAGGCACCGCTCCGGCGGGAAGGTAAACGGCATTTCCGTGCGCTGCTCTGGTTCGCCAGAAGTGGCTTAGTCATGCTGGCCTCATGACGTGGAAGCTGTACGCCGGCTCCCTCGCCCAATAAAGCAAGATGAGCGCCGTAACCCCAGAGTCGACCACGACTGGACCTAATGGTCAGGGGTCCCCTTTACCTTTACCTATCTAGAGAAATATTGAGTGGTTGCAGTGGGTTCTTTACCCACAGGGCGAACCTGACCTTTCAACTCTGTAAAATGGAAGCAAACACACAAGCAAGTTGAACACCCTCAGTCTCGCCTCTGTCATCATGTGTCAGATGAGCTGTCTGCTTTTATAGGCAAATCTGTATGTGTGTGTGTTGGAGATGACATGCATGCTAGCCAGTAGGCAGTCGTCGCAGTCCAAATATAACCCGTGCCAGAGAAGCTGTGATAAAAAGTTGCAGAACTTTTCATTCCCCCATCAGTGTTCACCGCAGTGCTGGGGAAATGTGTGTGTGTTTTGAGGGTAGCAAAGGTGCTATCAACCCTAAGTTTCCAGTCGCCATCCAAGTCCAATGTGGCTGTGAGGATAAGGTTTGCAACGTGGATAGTAATACTGAGAGAACAGGATACTAGACTAGATTGACCTTTGGTCTAATCCAGAAGGGCTCTCCTTACCTTGCGATATCTCAGGCTTTAAAGCAGTGTTTCCCAAACTTGGGTCTCCAGCTGTTTGGGACTACAACTCCCATCATCCCTAGCTGGCAGGACCAGTGGTCAGGGATGATGGGAATTATAGTCCGAAAACAGCTGGAGACCCAGGTTTGGGAAACACTGCTTTAAAAGACACATTCACAAAGGACAGGGCCATCAGTAGCTGCTAACTGTGATGGATGAGTTCTGCATCTACTGTTGAAGGCAGTATGCCTCTGTAGACCTGTTGCTGGGAATCAGAACTGAGGAATAGTGCTTGTCATACTTAGGTCTGGTTGGCTTTTATGAGAACAAGATTCTGGGCTAGCTCGCCCATCTGTTTGATCCAGTAAGGCTCTTCTTATGTTCTTACCTGGTGAAATCTCAGAGCCGCTTCCTGCGCTGTTTGTGGCAAGGCACCCGTGATGTGTGTCAGTGTGATTTCTTCTGCGAGTGCAACAAGCCAGCAAACCACAGCGCATCTCAACTTCGTGAGCCAGGTGCTTGCAGCAGAAAAGATGTTTGCACTGCTAGTCTCAAAAGCCAGAAGCCCGCTGAACCACAAGCAGGACTTCCAGGAGCTGGGAGGGTGGTCCTTCTGAGCTCTGCGCTGTTCCTTGAACCGGTTAACAGAAACAGAATCTGTTTTGCAGCACTTGTGCAATGATGGAAATGTGTATAGAAACATGGCCTAGAGTTGGGTATGTCCTTGTAAAATGAGGGGTTTGTTTTTCTTTGCCCCAGAGAATATGCTTGTTCTTCCCCAAGTCCTTCAATGTTACTCCAGTTGTGCTTTCAGGCAGTAGCTGTGCCGGTTGTTGCTCACTTGTATTGCGGACTCTTTGTACCTAGGCCTATTCATCATGTCAGCCTTTGCCTCTTCCTTTATTCCAGGTGTGGAGAAGACTTGGCCTTCTGGATATTGCTGAACTACAAATCAGCATGTGTGTCCAATGGCCAGGAATGATAGAACTGCAGTTCAGCAACATCTGGGGGAGGCAAAGGTTCCCCATGCTTGTGAGGGTGGTTGTTTTTTTAACACTTTCCCCTGTGCTGTGGAACCCACAAAAAGTCCTTCCCCCCAAAGCTGCTGCTTGACATGGAAGGGAGGCTGTCATTGGCACCAGCGGCAGCATCTTTCCCATGCCAAATAGCAGCTGGGGAGGGTGATTTTTGTAGCAACCGTGTAGGTTGGTGAAAAATAAAACAGGGCTCTTACACCTTTAATAGTTATCAGTGGAGACTGAACCACCAGGGCAAATGGGGCACAACCCCACCTGCCTCAGCCAGCTCCCATCTGTCTGCGTTTTCACTTATATCGGGGGGGGGGGAGAGAGATTTCCTGCTCGCAGCAGCTTTTTCTTGTCTCCATAGTCTTGCAGCAAGGAGGAAACTTGGAGCAAAACTCTTAATTCATTGGCTTTGCCTGCCATTGACTCTGGCGCCACCTACTGCTGGCCTCCTTCTTTCCCACTCTTAACTGGTTGGGCACCGATACTTATGCAGGAGAGGGGATTTCAGCAGATGTTGTTCAGCATGCATTCTGCAGCTGCTGAAATTCTCTTCTAAGCAAGTATTAAAGGTGCAGGAGCCTTGGCCTCACTTGCCCATGGTCACTCTAGTCTAGGGTCACTTTTCTCAGCTTTGGTGCCCCAGATGTCATTGGACTACAACTCCCATCATCCCTGACTGCTGGTCCTGCTAGCTAGGGATGATTGAGAAAGGCTGCTCTAGGGCCACGGACTTATTTTTCTCCATGTCCCAATCCCGATTCTACAGCCTCCCCACCCTGTGATGAACGCTGCACACAAACTAGGGCTAATGCACATGGCTGTGGTGCCCACATCCCAAGCCACATCCTTGTGGCAGAGCAGCCCGGCTTCCAAGCATCCCGGCATTGCGGCGGAGTGGAATCGCAACACCTGCACTTCATTTCCCTGCCAAATAGCGATCCCATTACATGCTGAAGGACGTTCCCAAAAGTGCTTCGTCAACACACCCATTGTGTGCGTGTTTGAGACTGCCGGGAAGAGAGGCACTGTAAAAAAAAACCTTTAAAAATCCCACCAGCAACACCTTCCTGGCAGTGACACTAATGGCAAAGAAGGGGCAGCTTCAGCAAAAAAGGGTTAAAGGGGAAGGAAGTGGGAGGCCTGACCTGGGCACAGCTGATTTGGCATGCTCTCATCTCTGTGCAGGCTTGCTATTCAGGTCACATGGACAGATGGGAGGGTGGAAGGGGAGGCATAGGAGGCGTAGCTGAGCTCTGTGTCATTCCCTGGTGACGGCCTTTTGCTCTCATTGCTTTGGGGCAGGGGAGGGGCCTGGGGAGTGGAAGAGAAAGAGAAACCAGGATGCAATTATTTCTCAGGGAGGAGCTGCTGCAAGCCACACACGTCTACCCATAATCGTAACCTCAGGCCATACGGATTTTCCTCCCCTGTTTCCCTCACTCCCTTGAGTTCAAAGGAAACAGCCTTTTTTGCGTGAGGTGGGTCTGCCTGTCAACCCGTAATCCAGGCCTACTAAGGGCGAATTTTTCCTCACACAGCTGCAGCCAGCACCAGCTCCCTGATGAACTTCTTGCGATAGGCGTGCTTGCAAACGTGCTTTTTGTTGTCTTCGCGTTCACACATTACATTTTCGGTGGCCGACAGAGATGTTGCAAGTGCGCACTTAGCAGGTGCAAGTGTCTAAACCAGAGCTTTCAGAACTTTTCATGTTGGTGGCACACTTTTTAGACACACATCATCTTGCAACATAGTAATTCAGTTTTACTAGCAAACCAGAGGTTAAACTAACCCCTTACCAGCCCCGGGAGGAGCGTTCACGTGACACACCTACACACTCTAGCCGGCACACTAACATATTGCAACACACTGTTTGGAAAGCTCTGGTCTAAAGAGTGTCCCTTAGAGTGCCGGCAACATCATCCTAAATGGAAGTGAAGATTCCAGCAGATACCTACCCATTTGCTAAATTTCTTTCTCTCCCATTCTCTCTCTCATCCCCTCCCAGTCCCCATTTTCTGCTTCTTGTGCTGGTTGCTTACCTAGGCAAGAGTCATCCAGGTGGGTGGAATATAAATGTAGTTTTCTCATCTGCCAATATGGAATCGAGAAGTAGGTGTGTTCTCTTCTCAGTTCAGCAAGGTGGCTGGGCTGTGGTGGGCTGGATCAAATACCTAGAACAATATTAAATCTGCAAATATTGAAGGCAAGAGGGTTTGGTAGGCAGTAAGTGGAAAGAGAAGGTTCCTAAGGGTTTCCTAGATTTTGCCCTCCCACCTAAGGCTGTTGCTACAGGCTGCTTCAGCCTCATGTGGCTCAAAGTTGTGAGGGACATGCTGCAAGGATATTCCTAGGTGGAATGTGCTAACACTTGGGAGATCTCTGAAGCATGCACCAATGTCAAACATGTTTTTTAGACACTTATGTTTCTAGCATGGACAATTCGGGTACATGGTGCATAAAAGTGGCCATCACAGGAAACCCTGGGATCCACCTCGTTCTTTGAGTGAAATTGAATCAGTTGGATGAGTGGAATTGTGCATATGTAATTTATTACTAAGGAACTAAGAGAGGGGCAGGTCAAATTTAGAACTCTCTTCAAGCAAGTGACTACCGTATTTTTTCGCCCTATAGGACGCACTTTTTCCCCTCCAAAAATGAGGGGGAAATCTGTGTGCGTCCTATGGGGCGAATACAGGCTTTCGCTGAAACTTGGAGAGCGAGAGGGCTCTCCAGGCTTCAGGAAGCTATCAGCAAGCCTAGGGAGCCCGCGGGAATTCCTGTAGGGCTCCCTAGGCTGCGGATAGCAGCCTGCTGCCCGGCGCGCAGGGCGCCCTGAAGCAGAGCGCCCCTCGCACCGGGCAGACATCCGCAATTTTCCTTTATTTCCCCCCCAAAAAAACTAGGTGCGTCCTATGGGACGAAAAATACGGTATCTCTCAAGCCTCAAGGATTGCAGACCTGATACTAGCTATAGTTTAGGGATTGTAAACGGGCACATAGATTCCTCCTTTCCCTTGATCTGTGTTCTCAAGCGCATGCAACGGTTGACAACTTTAGTTAAAATTAAGCTGGCAAAACTTAATTTTGAAAAGCACTAAAAGCTGCCAGCATCTGAATAACATTTTTGGTAGTTTCCAAATATAACAGTTTTTGCCTGGGTCCCATTAAGTATCAGAGCTCACCTTTTGTCCAGACTTCTGTATTACAATAATAGTACAACTTAAATAGTTTTTTAATAGAGTTTTTGAATATTCAGGTTTTCCAACACATCACATACACTATCTTGTAGTCCTTACAGCAGCCCTGTAAAGTAGGGCAGGATGCAGCCCAATAGTTCAAAGTGTGCTTTGGCTGTATATTGTTGGGTTGAATGATGTGCATGCCAACCTCCTGGTTTGCAAAAAGAATAATAGAAGTGTAGAGTTAGAAGGGACCACGGGGATCATCTAGTCCAACCCTCTGCAATGTAAGATTTTTTTGCCCAACATGGGGCTCGAACCCACAACCCGGGGATTAAGAATCTCATACTCTACCAACTGAGCTATCTGGGGGCACCAGGGCTGAAACTATCATGCAATGTAATCCTGTGTGCATTTACTCAGAAACAAGTCCCACTGTGTTCTGTGGGGCTTACACCTGGTAAGTATGTTTCGGATTGTAGCCTGCATCTCAAGGCACAAAACCCGAGAAGCCAATCCCTGACTCCACCCCAGGAACTCACAAAAAAAAGAGCAAAATTTAAAAACTGGCTGCTGGGTTGGGAGGGTGTGAAATTGACTAAGAATTACCCCTCATTTTGACTTGAGGCTACTCAGTTTCAGCTTCCCACCCAACCTGCAAGGAAGTCCCCTTTTGGCAGACTGAGCTAGTATTACAGTGAAGATTTATGTATGGGGTCTGGTGGGGAGGAAAACAGAGCTTGCAGTGAATTCTTCAGCCGCAGTATGAGCCTGGCTTTCTCTCAGCACCACAACTGAATTGGCAGACATGCATAGCAGTGAATCAGCTCTAGGCTAGGTTGTCATTTATGGCTCTCTGGCCATGGTTCATGCAGAATGTAGTTCTTTTTCTTAAAAAAAACCACACAAAAAACCCCCAGCACTACAGAAATGTTATCCACTGTTTTGTTTTTGTTTTAAAAGGGTAATGGTGATGGAATTGTAGAATCCTAGAATTTCCATTTACAAGAAAGGAGGTTCTGACTGAACATCAGGAAGAACATTCTGACAGCAAGACCTGTTTGACAGTGGAGTGGTCCTCCTTAGGAGGTTGTGAACTCTCCTTCCTTGGAGGTTTTTAAGGAGAGGTTGGATGGCCATCTGTCACGGGTGCTTTAGTTGAGATTCCTGCATTGCAAGGGGGTTGGGCTAGATGACCCTTGGGGTCCCTTCCAACTCTACAATTCTGTGAGTCTGTTCCACTGTCAAACAGCTCTTATAATATTATTTTTAGTCAACTGTTAGAAAACTCTTCCTGGTGTTTATGCAAAACTACTCTGGGGGTGGAGGAAAGGCTGTTGGTGATGTCAGAGGAGGCCAGCCCTGCTGCATACAGCGTGCTTCTGGGAACTGTTTTGTTCTGAGATTGATTCTGGAGAGAAATGGTTCCATTTGGGTTAGATGCAATGAGGGCATTTCCAGATCAGTCTCATTGCTCTACAAACCTTACATCTGTCTTTGCCCTTAGAGTCACTGAACGAACTGGGCATTGAAGGCAGGAATTGTATAATTAAGTCATCAGTAATCTCATGAATACTGTCCAGTGGGTTTCTGTCCCTTCCAGAAAGCATTCCAGACGACATTGCTCTGAATGAAAACAATGTCATTTCCAGAATCAAAACATTGCAGTTAACAGGCCCATCTTACCCATTGAGGCTAGTGGTGCGGGGGGCCAAGTTCTGGAGTGTGCCACACGAGAGTCCAGGGAACACTGAACAAGCACGCTGAGTGAGTGAGGCTGTCAGTTTTTTCCCTTTTAGCCTTCTGGCACCGAATTCTGTGGGGCACCAGAAGGCTAAAAGGGAAAAAAAACCGAGCCGACGCTCTGCAGGAGTGGGCTCAGCACAGGCCCGCTCGCTTGGTGTGCTGCCTGCTGTGGCCACCGCAGCACGAGGTGGCCGGCTGAGCCAGGAGGTGCCGCATCCAGCCTCCGCCTCTTCCCCGCTGAAGTAGCCGCCCTTCAGCCGCTGCCCACCTCCTCCAGCCCTAAAAAAAGCTCAACTCTGGGGAAGGGGGGGCGCCGGAGGGATCTTTGCACCACGGCCCTGGCAGCTTATTGGCTGAGAGAATGCCTTATCTGGATCCCACATATCAGGCAAGTAACAGAGGTGCATTTGTTGTGCTGTGTGCTATGCTGTGCACTGGAAAAACCCTCAGCCACAGTTGGTCCAGTTCTCTAAAATGGGAACAATACTGGCGTACCCTAAAGGGATTGTTTTGGGAGGATGCAGAAGGAAAGGAAAGGTTGTCAAACCATCCTGAGAGAGAGGAGCAGAAGCAACATGGGAATTCGATACAAGCACCTATAGACATCCTTTTCCTTGGTGCCTGGCCATCTCTTTTCAAGTCTTGCTTTCATTTCTTCCTGCAGGGATCTACACAAGCAACAAAGATCCGATTTCGCATGGAGGCGGGGTGCTCCGGACAGTGTGTAGCACTCCTCTCTCCTCCAGCCTCCTGGCTCATCAAGGCACTTCGTCGCTTCCTCAGCTCACCCGCTCTCCCTTCGCTAGCGCCATCCCAACCGCCTCTTCTTCCTCCGTCTCCACAACCCAGGTAAGCACTTCAAGCATCAGTGCTCGAAGTCATTTTTGTGCACTGAGGGGGGGTTAAGTTCCCAGTGCTTTGCGCCATCCACTCTGGCATGGGGCACGTTCTAAAGGACAACTGTGCTGGCTGGGGGTGATGGGAGTTGTGGTCAAAACAACACTGGAGAGCACCAGGCTGGGGAAGATTGATGTGTGTAAAAGGGTAAAGAAGTTAAAAGGCATCAAACAAACAGAAACAGCCTAGGGCTTGACTGACCTCTGTGGAGCGTGATTTGTAAAATGTGAAGCAAACAAGCGTGGCTGCTTCTCAGGGTCTGGGTAACTCCCAAGTCCTCATTGTTCAGGCACGCTGCTCCTGCTGCTTGCTGATTTTGCTGCTTTATAGTGGGCCAACTTGGAATATGCAATACAGAAAACCTGCTGGTGAATAGCAGTATTCAGTGGCTGGGTGCACTTTACCATGCTAGGCTGCGTGAGAAATGTCAAGGGTGCCGTTCTTCTTGGTCTGCAGCCCTCACGGTAAATGTAGGCACTCATTTTGATTTGCAACTTGTACATTCATTAACTGGACTCTGAAACCACTGCCGTTTCCCAAGTAAAAGCAAAACAAATGCTATTATTCTTTGATGGTGGTGAACTGAAGCAGCAATCCAGAAAGCCCTCTCATAACTCCATCCTGATGATTCAGCATCCAAAGCCGAAGCTCTCCCCATTGTTTTAAAGGTAAAGGTACCCCTGACCGTTAGGTCCAGTCGCAGATGACTCTGGGGTTGTGCTGCTCATCTCGCTTTATTGGCCGAGGGAGCCGGTGTACAGCTTCCAGGCATGTGGTGAACCAGAGCAGCACACGGAAACGCCGGTTACCTTCCCACCGGAGTAGTACCTATTTATCTACTTGCACTTTGATGTGCTTTGGAACTGCTAGGTAGGCAGGAGCTGGGACCGAACAACGGGAACTCACCCCGTCGCTGGGATTCAAACCGCCGACCTTCTGATTGGCAAGCCCTAGGCTCAGTGGTTAGACCACAGCGCCACCCACATCCTATTATTCTAGTCTCTGGCTAATTTACATGCCTCCAGGTACCCCACCACCTGCGTTTCCTGCAGAAATAAAATGGTTTCATATCGATGAAGTGTCCTTTTCAGCCACATGAGACTGAAATGCTTTGAAGCTTCTTTTTAAGACAGAGGCCCAAACATCATCTGTCTGCTGCCTGTCTGTTCCGCTCATCCATTCAATACCAGCCTAAGCTCTGATCAGAAGTTTGGAAAAGACGACTCTTAAAATGAAATGGCTGTTTTTCTTTTCCCTTCTTCCTTTGTTGTCCGCACCTCTGCAGGTGTTCTCCCTGGCAGGATCTACGTTCAGTCTCCCTTCCTCGCATATTTTTGGAAGCCCCCTCACTTCTGGGCTGTCGGTCAATCCTCTCTTGAACCAATCTGAAAGCAACCGGACAGGTACACAAACCGGAAAGTTTGAAATGATCTCATTATAAAATGTCCTTCTGAAAGTCAAGGCCACACTTGTCTACAAGGTCATCTCCTTCCCTTCTTCCCCCTGCTGCTTAGTTCCAAAGTCTTTAGAGCTGACAAGGTTTCCACACACGAGGGGAAATGTGATGGGTAAGCTAGGAAAAAAAGTTTCACATTTACTCCTTAAAAAAAGAAAAATGAAAACATGCCATTTACAAAGATAAAGCTGTTTGATGTATAAATACAGCAGGCAAGCTTCAGAAATATGACCTGGAACCCTTGGGAAAATACGTGCGCATGCGCAGTGAAAGAGAGAGACCATGTTATGGAGACACAGTGACTGCACTAGCCTGCCATCTGGTGGCATGTGGGAGTAACACCATTCCTTGAGACAGGAAGTGGTTATGTTGTTACGGCTGCACTGAGCATTTTCAGTTTTAACAGGAAGGTTTAAGAGGCTTTGTTTTGAATCCACAGAAGGTGTGAGACCTCGTAGTGTAGAATGGTAACTGTGTAACTATTGAGTGTAGGACAGTTGTCGGTATGCAGAAATAAATGGGAACTGTGTTTTGAGAAACTCCAAATTGAGGAGAACTTAGACTTATAAGATCTGTGATTATAATAAATAGTATCAGGGTTGAATTCACTTGGGCAAAATTATGTTAATGTGGCAAATCACCCAGGGATTTTGCAGGCCAATCTAGACACAACAATAGACCTGCTTCTATAAACCGTGGTCTTCCCTTTTAAAACTGGGGACCCCTTTTTAAAGAGCAAAACAGAGGCATAGAGAGAGCTAAACTTCAATCCCTACTTGAAGCTTACTTCCCTAGAATATGCCCTCCCAGATGCTCTCTTTGATATTGGATGTGGTGTGTCCTTGGAGAAAAGGGCAAAAGCTTTTAGGCTTTTAAGCAGCAGGTTTTAGTACAGAATTTGGGTTTGAACTGCATGCTGCATCATGTTTGGTCAGGTCTTCTGCCATATCAAGTGTTTGGGGTAGTGTTAGGGAGGTTGTCTGTAAATAAATTTTTTAAGCCACTCTATATATTTCCACTTCCAGAAGCAGATTTGGAAGACTGTAATTTTGTCTGCCGAGGGTCATCACCACAAGAAAGTCTTTCTTCCATGTAAGTTTATTTGCCTGAAATGCTGCATTTGGGGGGGGGGAGAGAGAGAAGGAAACAATGCACTGCTTAACTAGCAAGGATAACGTGATGATGATGATGATGATGATGATGATGATATCCAGAGATAGGGTTGCACCACACAACAGACTAAAGGGAAGACAAAACCAATGGGGGCATGACAGGGTAACTAACATGCTGCCTTATCAAATCCTCATTGCATGTGGAGAGAGTAGCTTTTCTGAGAAGATACCCTTGAATATGCAGTGCCTGGTGAAACTTCAGGTGCAGAGAAATGGCAGGGCAGGGGGTGTTGACAAGGTGTCTCCCTGTGGCTGGTGATGCCAAATAAGCAAAAACATATGGAATCTTCATAATACATGCAGAATTGAACTTCTTTACATCTCGCAGCCTTCCAGCTGATGTGGAGTTCTGAACATGAGACAAATGGACTTAAAAGCTTGTTTTAGGAGGTGTGTTGACTGTCCTTCCCCTTCTGACAACACTTTTTCCACCACTCTGTTCCCTCTGCAGGTCCCCCATCAGCAGCCTCCCCACTCTCTTTGACCAGACAGTATCAACGAGCAGCGGGCAGCTGGAAAACGTTCCCCAGGCTACACCCAACATTGAGCAGCTCCTGGAGAAACAGGGCAATGGAGAAGCCGGTGTTAACAGTGAGTTGCAGGAGACTCACTTGTGGAACTGTTTGCCTTTGCTCAGGGGCTAAGGATGGGGGCAAACCTCACTCATGTATACTTCTCCCATCAGGCTATCTCCATGCTGCAGAAAACTTCCCCTGCTAAGGCTTGCTTGGGGGCTGGGAGGTGGCATTCTGATGCCATATGTCGACAAGCAAAGCAGATGCGCAGAGAAGAGGTTCCTTTATTTAAAAAATAGAATGAACAAACCACTTGTCCCAAACAGTTGGTTCATGTGAATGTTGGAAGATCGGACCTCACACCTCTCAGACCTTTTGACCTCATTCCTGACCATCATGGAGTGTAGGGCCCCAAGTTGCTGGTGTGCTATGATGGTTTAGAGCGGTGAGTTCAAACCATGGAGACCTGTGTCCCCCAAGCCAAGAATGTTTTATGACCTTGGGCCACTTACTTATTTCTCAGGGATGTTGCAAAGGGGGACAGGCGCGGTCCTATGTGTGCTACCCAGCACTTCTTCAAAGAAAGGTGGGGTGAAAATATAATAGGCGAATGAATGAGGGCTCCTTTCTGTGCAAATCAGAGGACAGAGAATTATGGGCAGCCTGTTGGCTTCATTGATTGTGCTCCTTATTTTACTGCCTCCTCCCTTTCGTGTATGCTCTAACTGTGTCACTGTTATTCCCTCCCCACCCCTCTCCACTCCCGACCCTTCTTCGTTGTCTCTCCTCCCCCCGGCCCCCTTCCCACCCACGTTTTCTGCAGTTGTAGAAATGCTCAAGGCCCTTCATTCGCTGCAGAAAGAGAACCAGCGCCTCCAGGAGCAGATCATGACTTTGGCGGCTAAGAAGGAGCGCCTGCAGCTTCTCAACGTCCAGCTCTCTGTCCCCTTCCCGGTGGTCACCACCAGCAACGGCCCTGCAGGCCAGGCCCAGTACATCCTGGCCTCCAATGGTATGGAGATGAACTCTCCTCTAAGCCCTGCCTGGCTGTTTCTTAATTCCTGACAAGGACATTTTCCAGTCATGGCATCCCATTTATGGAATACCGTGCTTTTATGTCCCTCAACTTCCTTTTCCTTAATCTTAAGAGGGTTTTCAGCTCCTCCTCAACAAAACAAAACTTTATGGTTTCACCTTGGCCTTTTTTGGTTCCTCAGCCACTTTACAGACAAGGAGAGTCAGAAATCAGCACATATGGTGGTTTCTGCACATGGTGTAGAGGGAAGTGAGGGGCAGATGAGGCTCATCAACCTGGGAAGGTAGCCCACCTAGGAGAAGAAAAACTCTGATCCTAAACCACCTCTGCCTTGCAAGTTATCTTTGAGAGAAGAAAAGGCTAAGGAGTAAACCCTACACAAATCTGTGGTGAAGTCCCTAAGATGGTTGGATGGTGCCTTGTATGCCTCCTTCTGGAAACTCCTGCAGCCAAGCTGGTGCCAAACGTATTGCTCTGCTGTCCTTTGGGGCAGATAAGTGAGGCCAAGAGGGGAGTTTTTTTCTGGGCAGCCCAGGACCTCCATACACACTGCCCAGGCTTGTACCTGGAGAGGTCACTTTGGTGCAGCTAATGCAGCACCTTGACTTCATCCCCGAAGGCGCACTCCATTGTATCTTGAGACAGTCAGATGCCAACAACATATATATCTCAAAAGAAAGAGGCACAGACCCAAGACATTAAGTGTGATCCAGAAGCTCTTGGCACAGACCCAAGACATTAAGTGTGATCCAGAAGCTCTTGGCACAGACCCAAGACATTGTGATCCAGAAGCTCTTGGATAGGGTGGGCTAAGCTGGGCTAAGTCAGAGATACAAGGTGTTCTGCAGCTGTGGAGATGTCCTCTGGAGAGGCTTTCTGATTTTCTCTTTTCCCCTCTAGCGTGCAACAGCGACTCGTTGAGTATCAGCAAGAGCCCTCCTTGCAAGAACAGCTTTGGCATCGAAAACTCGCTCTCCACTTCCTCCGAGGTACGGAGCATCTCTTTCCGTTCTCCCCACTGTTGCTTATTGGAACTTTCACCCCCGCCAGCCGGAAGCGGCTCCTCCATGGCAGATTTGGAGTGCCATGGAGCATGGCCGAGTGGCAGGCAGACCAGCCAATGGGGAATATCTCCTGCAGCACCAGCTGCCATGAAATCAGTGGGAGCTGTGTGTGAGTGTGGCAGCACCCTTGCGTGGCTTTCATTCATTTCAGCAGGGGCTGGCACAGGAGACCTCCCACAAGGGTTACACACACACACACACACACACACACACACACACACTCATTAGCTTGGGCATCAAAATGCCATCCCTGTTGCCAGCAGTTTGGACCTGGCAGATGCCTTTCCCTTTGGTGGGATGTGCTGGATTCAGTCACAGGCAGCCCCTAGGTAGGATCCCTTGCACACCAGAATGATTTCCCCTCCTTTCTCCTCCCTCCTTGCAGGATCCTCACTCCGGCTGCCCCAGCAGAAGCAGCTCCTCCCTCTCCTTCCACAGCACGCCTCCCCCACTGCCCTTGCTGCAGCAGAGCCCTGCCTCCCTTCCGATGACGACTGGGGTGCAACAGCCACCGCCAGTGAACGGCTTGGCCAGGGCAATGGGGACTGTCCACGGGGGAGGCGCCCCTGCCAATCACAGCCTGGTGGACGGTTTACTTGGGAGCCTGGCGGGAGGGCAGCAGGTACCCATCAACGGCATCCTGGGAGGTCTGAATGGAGCAGTGGCCACCCAGGCCCAGAATCCCCTCTTGGTGCAAAGCAGTGGGCCCCCAAACCTGCAGCTCTCCAGCAGCCAAAGCAGGTAAGGCTCAGGAAGGAGGGGAGGGAGGGAGGAACAGATGGAGGTGGGTTTGCAGTGCCTAAAGGGGCTCTACTTGGCCAGAGTTCTGCCACACGTTCCAGAAAAGCATTTTATTGGTGAAAGCTTCAGGGAAGGTGGCTGTCCCCACCTACTCTGCCAGGCCCCCCGGGCATTTGGCTTTCACCCACACCTGCTGTTCCTGGTTGGCCTCCCACATTTAATCACGTGTGGTGTGTTTTGCAAGGTTTGTGCATACCCCTGAGCTATATCATCCAGGCAAGGCACAAAACGATGAAAAGGCATCCGTGGTGGAAGCAGGAGATGCAGAGATGTGCACTCACCTTAAAGCAGGAGTAGGGAACATCAGGCCCAGGGCCAAATGCAGCCCTCCAGGCCTCTCTATCTGGACCTCAGAACTCTCCTCAAGCTACGCCCCTCACTTATCCTGCTTCGCACCTAGAGTACTTTTGACTGGCTGGGATGTCTCCTTGAACTCTGGTCTGGATGGAGGATAGAGTGGGGGAGGTGTATGAACTTGCCTACTGTACAAACATAAAGCATAAGCCCATTGCCCTGCCCACTTTTGACCCTGACCCTGCCTACTATTGTCATGTGGCCCTTGGAAGGTTGCCCAACAGGGAATGTGTGAAAAACATTCTCCACCCCTGCCTTGAAGTGTAGTGCAACCTGCAGTTTGGGAAGATCCAAACTAGGGCTACGTGCACCTTGCAGTTCCGTGACTGCAGGAATTATACCTGGGTGCAAGTAAAAGGGAAAAGAGTTTCTAACCTTTAAGGCATATAAGTGACCAAAGGTGGGGGAAGGAGACACAATAAGGAAAGCATGACAGCAGGTGAGCAAGACTCATGCCTTCTCTGGACCGCCAGTTTGCATCAACAGTTTGCCATATGGTCTCTTGCCATAAGGCGGTGGGGAAATGAGCGCTCTCCTGGATCAGACCAAAGGCCTAGCTGGTCCTGCATCCTGTTCTTCCAGTGACCAACCAAGTGCCTCTGTGGGAAGCGCCTGAGAGCAGTGCAGTGAGGTTGTATAAGAGCCACGTCGCACGTTGCCCTCCCATACATGAGGCCAGGTGAGGGAGCATACCTGACATGCCTCCTAAGGCAGCCAATGTTCAGTTCCATTGGAAGGTGGCAGAGTGGAAGGCAGGCAAATCTGACCCAGGGGACACAGTGAACCATTAAGTTCTTTTCAAGCCCTCTTTGACCCAAACAGCACTCCTGTTGCCTCAGCTCTTGTTTGTTTTGGGGAGGTTTCTTGGGGTGAAATTAGAACCAGAGGTGTGTCAGTTGGCTTTTCTGTCTTGAGGACCAATGTTTTGGGGCGTGGCCCCACTGTTTCTGGAGATAACTCTCTAACCCCACCCCTCTCAGCGCTTTGTCCCTCTTCCCTTTCTCCAGCATGGCTAGCACAAGCCATCTAACTGAGCAGCAGCTCCTCAGCCAGCACGAGCTCCAGCTCCAGCAGTTGCAGCAGCTCCTGACTTCGCAGCCACTCAACCCGGTAAGTACCTCTGCTCTGGTTGGCTCCTCCTCCTCCCCTCCTGTCAACAGTTGTAGCAGGCAAGGGGGCTAAGCAGCCTTGGCTTCTTACACTTGGGAGGTAGGGGAAAGGCTGGGGTGGAAGTTCCAGGAAAGGATGAAAAAAGCCTTTATCATCTGGGGGGACAAAGATTGGGGTGCGGAGGAATTATGAGAGAGGTTCATAACATTATGAGTGGTGTAGAGACAGTAGGCAGAGCGGTGGTGGCTCTTGAACTGCGGGGTGGAGATCCCTGTGAGGGGGCACCTCAAGAAACAGATGAAATCCCATAGCATAGGGTGCTGATTCAGGCAGAGCTTTCCTTCCTGCTCCAGCCCATGACTGGGGTGGCAGACCTAAGTTATGGGAGCACTCCTTCCCCTAGTTCCTCTCTCCTGTTGGCGTGGAGGGAGAGCTGCCAAGATCCTTCTGCAGCTGACCTTTGCAATTTTGTTTTCCCAGGAGCAGCAGGCTTTGGTATTCCAGATGATTCAACAGATTCAGCAGAAGAGGGAGCTGCAGCGGCTCCAGATGGCCAGCTCCTCCCAGTTGTCCATGACTGGCCTTGGGCCAGCTACCTCCACATCCCTCCTTCACTCCAATGCCCCTGCAGCTTCAGTTGCCAACAGTAACCTCCTGGCCTCCATTTCCCCTCAGCAGCTTAATCCAGCCAGTTCCTTGATGGCTTCCCCATCACTCAGCACCAGTGGGAACAGCCTGATGTCAGCTGCAGCAGGGGTAACTATCCCACCTGTCCTCACCGCACAAACCAACCCTTTCCTCAACCTGCAAGGTGACAACAGCAGCCAGAAGGGAATGGTGGGTATCAGGCCATCGCCTGCCAACAGCTTAGCTGCTGTGATGTCACAGAATGTTCACAGGTTTTCTCCCAGCTAGGGGGGAAAGGGTTAGCTGTGGAACGATGACAAAGCACACGGCTGCTTTGCGGAGAGCAGGAGATAATTTTGACTAAGTGGGGAGGAAATCTACATAATCTAGGGACAGGTTGGATTCTTTCAGAAGGAAATGAGAGGTGATAAGGGGTCTGGGTGAAGGGGAGATGAAGGCTGGAAGTGTTAGTGGGAGAGTCTGTCTGAGACAAGGATGCCAGCAGCAGGGAGCTGAGCAGGGAAGGTGGCTGAAGGAAGGAGGGTTAGAGTAGGCAATGAACTAAGACACAGAGACCTCAGGGAGCACTAGATGGAGAAGAAAGGAGTAAAGAAATGTGAAGATTTCATAGGAAATTGAAGTGGGCAGGTGAATGGCCTTCAGGCTTGCAGGGCTATTATTGTGGTGGATGCTGCAATTTCCTATATTGTTCTTTTTCTTTTATTGCTCTTTGACACGCAACCGGTTTAGACTGTCCTGTGCTTCTTCCTTTATCTTCGTGTTTAGGGCATGAACGAAAAGGGAGGTGCCCCAGTTCAGGACAAAGGTTAACTTGGGTGATACCAGGCTGCTCTCTGCTATAGGAAAGCAATCTGTGCCTGAGCCACGGATCCCGAGACGTAGAGCAACCACATGCAAGACTTCAGAGGAAGTCTTCCTGCCATGGGCAGAGCAGTGCCAAGCAAAGGTGCACCAGGAGTCTACGTTCCTCGGTTCTGAGCCCGTCGTAATGAACCCTTCCAAAGGAGGCAGGTTGAGCGCATAACACCCAGCTCCCTTGTCAGCTGTGTCTGCGATGCCGCACTTATTTCACAAGAAGTTGCACTCCCAAGGAGAAACGGTAAAGCAGTCTGCTGATCAGATACCTGAAGACACCCCCCTCGAGGGTAGGATCAGCTAATCGGACTGTGGCCACCTGGTCCTGGAAGGAATGCTATCTTTGCAGAGCAGGGCATTTTCCAAACCAGGGATAAGGAATCCAGCAAGGCGCAAGGCAGCGGAAAGGTCCAGCTGCGGCAACAGGGTGGAGCTTTTGAGGTCTCTGATGCACAAGAGGGTGAGATTCGGAAGGCGTTACTTGGAAACCCCACGCAGGAATCCTGTAGTGAGAGAGCCTGGAGGTCTTCAGAAGTGCACACGGATGAGCCTTTCTTAGCGTTTCTGCTGGGAGAAAAAGCCACTCTGTTCTCCCAAAGCCAGGGGTCTTAAACACTGACCTGAAGGAAACAACCCCTCGCTTCCATACTTGAGTATGACCCTTCTCTTCCATACCTTCAGGAGGCTTTGTTAGGTGCCCTGCAGTTAACAAGGCCATTGCAAGCAATCACCGCTCACCATCAAGGTGCTTTCCACCCTCTCCAGAAAAGGACCTTTTCCTACTCGGTCAGACCAGCCACCCAAAGCCAACAGCAAAGAGGCAGGGTGGAGACTTCATCTAAGGGCAGGAGCTGTTCCTTCCACCTCCAAAGCAGCTCCGTTCTGGTGAAGAACATCTTCCAGCCCAGTCAAAAGCTCTAAGCTAAATCAGGTCCTAGCTGACAAGAGCATTGGTCTTCCCACCAGTGTGAGCCCTCGCCCATCTCCAGGGAGTCAGCTCCATTCTCCTTTAAGCATTTTTAAAGGATGTTGCGATGAGGGGAAATGGGGATCCAAGTCAGATATCCTGAGGAATCCCACCCAGACTTGCCTCCATGGCACATCCCAGCCATCTCTTCCAATTTGCACTATTTTCAAATGGTGCTGGGCATGTGATGATGACCACAGGAATGGCCACTGCTGTTCAAATTCATCTCCCCCCTCCCCTGTGTGTTTTTTGCTTTTGTTTCTTCTTTTTCTTTCCCCCCTTTTTGAAAAATACCTGCCCCACAGATGAGTTGGGTGCTTGAAGTAAGGGGGCGGGGCGGGGAGAGAAATCACAGCATCTTTTCAAGATTTCATCCTTTGGTTTGTTTTGTTTCACGTAAACAGATGTACCTGGCTCCACATTTTGTGTGTGTGTGTGAATGTGCTGTAGGGGTTTGGTGTGTGGGGTTGTTGTTTTTTTTTAATTTGTTCAACAGAAAACTACTGGAAACTGACAAGAGCAGCAGCTTTTCCACATGGAAACCAGGCAGCTTCTCATCATGGCAGCTTTGGCACTAATTAAGGAGCAGCTAGAAAATGGAATGATGCTTGACATTTCCCCCACCCTTTCAGCAGAGCGTTCACAGACAGAAATACCCATCAACATTATGCACTTACTGCTTGGACAGCAGACTCCTCTTTGAAAGGCATCCAGGCCAGCACTTCTGCCACATTCCAGTTCAGATTTGTCCTTCACTGTCATTCTGGTGTGGATCTTCTTGGCTCTTGTTCAACTGCCCAACTGTGGCCTTGGATCGCTGGTGTTTTTTTGTTTTGTTTTAAATTGTCTGTTTTTTAAGAAAGCAATTGCACAGATCAACTGTTTGATTCAGAGTTGGAAGTCGGGGAAGGATCACATCCAGCCCCTTGCCGCCCCCATTCCTGTAAACAACTGGTTGGTGTTGTCCTCAGTCTCCTGTTGGGAATCCGTGGTGCCACCAGGCAGCTGGATTGGGGAAAGAGATGCTTAGCCAGCACCTGCAGAGTTCCTCATCCAGCCACACCAGTGGACTTTTGCCCTTCTAACTGGTTTGCGGTGGTATATTCTTCCCAGCCATACTAACTTTCCTCTTCCTGGAATTGCAGGTTTGACTTTTTAAAGTTTCCTGCCAATAAATGCTGGATTTGCACAATTGTTACCCACATACCCACGGACTCCCAACTAAATTTGATTCAATATGCAGGGGGGAGGCAGGAGGAAAGTACCCTGAGGTGGGTTCCTGAAGTGGCCACGTGGAACTTCCCCTAAAAGAAGGCAAGTTGAAGAAGCACACAGGTGAAAATAGGCAGATGGGAAAGGGCAAGTTCACAATTGGGAATGGTTTGGAGAAGGGGACTCTGTAAGCAGAGGAGGGAAGGGCCAGGGCATTGGCTGGGCAGGAAGGCAGCACAAGGCTTTGTGCATAACGGTTGGGAGAGAGAGACCTGTACCTCTCTAGTGATGGCACAAATACACAACAGTACAAGAAAAAAACATGGTTCCCAACCCCTGGTTCCACTCCTAACAGTGAGGGAGGTGGGGCATATGCAAAAACAACCAAGCAGAAACATGAGCTTTTTTCTCTTTAGTGCTTTTCTCCCAGTAGGGCTCTGAGGCCAGAAGAAGCCCGACTGCAGAGAAAATCAGTGGTGTGTGTGTGTGTGTGTGTGTGTGTAGCATAACATATGAATGGATGAGTTGGCAGGCATGAGAAGGCTTAAGCAGCCCTCTCCTGCTTGTCCACCCTACCCTGAATATGCCTCCGCCACCTACCCCTGCATTTGTGTTAACTAGCAGGCACATGCTTGGGAAATGCGTGCCAGCAGACTGGCTGGAGACTGACCCATTTCATGGTAGGTAGATTTGGGGTTCACACATCATCACACGCGTGTGCAGTGGGGGAGAGAATCCCACAAACCTTCAAGGGTTGCGTTCTGAAATCTCACCCTCCACTATCTCCTTGCTGCCCACTAGCGGTTTTGTGGGGATATATTTGTCCTCAAAATCCAGTCCCAGCCCTGTCTGGTCTCCTTGACTAGGGGAATGCTATGTGCTATGTGCCCAGTCCAACCCACCAGGCATGCTTTGTGGCTTCAAAGACTCACCTAGAAGTAAGGAAGTGTGGGGGATTTTATCAAGTCTTAGGCGGGCTGCCATTCATCTGGAATAATGCCCTAAAAACAATTATGCTCTGGATTGCATCTGAAAGGAGCTAGTGAGTGGAAAGATGGTTTGGGCAGCTGGCATTCAGTTTAGGATGCTGCGGTGAGCAGTAGTAGTGAGCTTGTCCAGGCAGGCAAAAGTTTTATCTAAAGAGAGGTCAATGCAGGAAATTTTGTGGGGAAGGAGGACATGCACTCAAGTATGCCAGTTCTGTCCATTAGGCCACCACAAATCATGCAGCCTCCCTCCCGAGTCCCAAAGAAAAGAACTGGCAATAGCATGTTCAGGTCAAACAGCAATGCCTGAATGATGCACACAACTCTGTGCAAATGTAGCAGCTTGCTTACTGGTGCTACTTATCCTAGGATGCTCCTGTGAGCTAAGAGATGGTGAAGGGTGTACTTAGGGTGTATATTCCACACATCTATGATCTGGCAAAAAGTTGTGGCAGTCTTTAAAAATTTAGGGCATTTTTCTTTAAGTCACTAAGCAGATGGTAGATCAGATGAACTTAAATATGGAGGAGAGGCAGAGAGCTCACCTGAAACAGAGGGAAATGCAAGGTGAGTTATTCAATCAGAGTTTAATTTGTTGTTCAATGGGTCTGCCAAAAGAGTTAGAACAGGGGTGTGGAGGAGTTGGGCCGCCCACTTTGTGGGGGGAAACACCATCTTGACTCCTCATTTTAAAGTCCATCTGCTCTCAGCCCTGGTTGTGAAAAAATACTTTCCAGTTTTCTCATCTTGCATAATCTATTGAAGTTGCAGGGTCATGCTGGCCAGACTCTTTTTATCTAGGGAAATCACCCATCTTGGAAGTGTGGTTAGATCTGGAAATCTGACTGGAAAAAAGCTTACTGGCTTCACCAAACGTTTGGATCGGAATAGATCTCAAGCTAAAATTTAGACAGTCAGTAGAGAGAGAATGTGTAGGTGCAAGAGGCTTGGGGGATATGGGAGGAAGCACTTATTTCTGGAATCATCCAAATGCACCTGCTCTCTTTTAAAAATGGCAGCTATCACCTCCACCCTGTCTGTTTCAGCCACAATGTTTCCTCCTACAAAACTTACCAGTTTGGGACATGACTTTCTATCAAGAGTTATGAAGGCATTCTGACAGTGGTTGGAGAACACAGCCATCGTGGTAGTCATTGAAAGCCTCATCTTCCATAAGTTTCCCTAGTCCTCCTTTAAAGTCATCCAAGTTGGTGGCTCTCAGTCCATCTTATCACAGATCTCCAGCGTTTCGTGTAGTTTGGCAGTTTGTTAGGTTTGGCTGTGAAGAATAAAAAATGCTTCAGCCTTTCCTCAGAGGGAAGGTGCTCCTGCAGCCGATCAGTTGTCCTTACTGCACCTTTTCCAGCCAAAGCACCTGTCCAACAAACTTGGGAGTTCAGGAACAGTGTCCCAGGAATGAAACTGACTTGAAATCCCATTGGGGTTTTTAAAGCAGAGGTTGGGTGGCTACCTGTTATGTATGATTTAATTGAAATTCCTGCTTTGCAAGGAGTTGGACTAGATGACCCTCAGGGTCCCTTCCAACTCTACAATTCTGTGACTCCATGATTCTAACACAGGCATTGAGGTCAACGCAAAAAAATTGTATGTAAGGCAGACTAGTTGTGGTGCTTTGAAAAAGCACTGGGGCAAGAGCACTGGAGTCTCTTCCTTGGCAGGAAGAGGACAAAAAAATTGGAGGAGGAAAAGGAGTAATCTCCACATTTGGTTGCACTGGGGTATATTTCTTTATACCCATCTTTTGATGCTAATGTCTCGTTTTAGTACCTTGCCTGTGCCTAACACCCCTCCCCTCCTTGGTAGTTGTTATTTTTAATTAAAGAGGAAAAGATGTATATATATATTTTGGCAATTAAGGTAATGTAGCTAAGATATATTTTTTTCATACTGCTTCACTGTTCTTTATTATAATAATTAATAATAATTAATATCAAAGACTTTAAGAAACTAAAACAATTGGGGCTTTCCCCCTTCAAATTTAACTAAGCATAGAGTGATATCATGGGTGGGAAATTTTCTCCTTCCCCTCTCCCCACACTGGGTGTCCTTCAAATGTTCTTGGAACACAACTCCCATCATTTCCTGACTGTTGGCCACGTTGCTGGGGAAGATGGGAGTTGGAGACAAACAACATCTGGAGGGGACACAGGGCAGCCCCCCCCCCCATTTTAATGCAAGCACTGATCAAGGCGTTGGGTTTCGCCAGCCAGGCCAGAATGGCCCGTGTGAGAAAACGTCAGCAGAATGTGCGCTTAGAGAAGAAAGGGAATACTGTAATGGGAACGAGCATTTCCGGAGTTCCTCAATAGAGGGCAGTGTGCTAAAGCAGGAGTGGAATATCTGTGGGCCTCCAGGTGTTGCGACTGGGGCTCTCGGAGCTTGGCAACATCTGGCGAGCCACAGGTTGCCTTTTCTTGCGTTGAGCCGTGGAAAGCAGAAGTGACGTTTTTAAATAAATAAATAAATAATGACCAAAAGTTATTCCAGTGCATTTTGAGCTGGCAAGGCTTTTCACGAGGGAACTATAAATTTACTTTATATTTTTTAAAAGGTCCTCCATATAAGCAGTCCTTTTTAAAATAACCCACTTGTATTTCTTTTCTGCAAGCAGATACAATCTTCCAGGTGGAAAGGCGCATTTACAACTTTAAAACTATGTACACCTCTGTGAAGTTTAAAATTAAAGGCTGTACCCATTGCTAACCAAAGAAGGAAGAAAAAAAATCATTAAGAGATAAAGAGATGTTATAGTTTTGGGGTATCGGTCATCCTTGTTTCTATTCTGTATAGTTGTGGTGTGCTTCTTGCTATGTAGACATTGAGTCCACTTCCAGGAGACAGCCTTTTCTCCCCAGCTATGGAATACTCTCCCAGGAGACATAGGAAGCAAAAATAGCTGTGTTGTTGGTCCATAAACTGCCAAAATCCGCAGTTGGTAAATGCTTTTATAAGGCCCATACTAAAATGTCACAAAATAGTAACCCGTTCTCCAGAATACTTCATCAGGCAAGATGTTACCCGAAGCAGGAGGTTCTTCTGAGCTTCCTACTAAGTTATCTTTCAGGGCCAGGCAAAACCTTTTTAACAATTGGGAGTTCCTATTTAAATTGCTTCTATGCTGCTTCTATAACGCTGTTGTCTGTTTATTCATTCCGATGGTGCTGTACTTTTATTGATTGTATTCTGTTGTATTTATGTGGTGTCACACTGCCCTGATACAAGGAGGTGGGGGAGGTCTTCTGGGCGGGCAGGATATAAATTCTTCTACAAATAAATAATTTCCAGCCTTGCCAACTGGAAATGGTAGATGACTTTTGGATCACTTTTTAAAATAAAAGATTCTTTTTCAATACACCTTTAAGGGTTGTCCCTTCTACCTTCTGTGGTCTGGTAAAATACAATATAGGTGTTTGCTGAAGAAAGAAAGAAAGAAAGAAAGAAAGAAAGAAAGAAAGAAAGAAAGAAAGAGAATTGTTGTCATCCATCTGTCTTGGGAGACAATGGAGGAGTTTGTGGGTGAGGTTGTGGCACCTGCTGTGGCTGTAGAGACCACTGCAGGAGGGACATGTTTTGTTGCAGCTTGGGCAGATGAAGGCAGGGGGTTGGACTAGATGATCCTCATGGTCCCTTCCAACTCTACAATTCTGTGATTCTAAGAGTGGTCTGTCTACCCTCTGGCAGCCTCTGGACAGGGAGGGAGATGGAAAGGCTCTGCCTTGCCCACTGCTGGCTTCAACCCCACCCACCAATAGCACATAGCCCGCAACAGATTATGCACCCAATGCCCTGGCATGTGGCGGTTCTCTTCAGGAGAGGCTTCCCCCCCACCCACACACTATGATGAAGGTGATTACTGGCATGTAACACAGAAGCAACATACAAAAATGCATGGAAGATGCCTGTCTGATGAAATGGGGAATTCCATGCACACTGGAATTGCAGCAGGTTGCCCAGTCTCCCCAGATGTGCTTACTGCATTTCTTCAGACAGGCATCTTCCATGCATCGTTGCGTTTGCAACAGAGACTCCAGAGGGGGGGAATTGGGAGATCCCACTCCTGTAACAATTTGAGCATTCCCTCCAGAAAATCTAATTAGGATGTGAGAAAACAACTAAAAACCTGCCCCTGCTTCTTAACACACATACACATCCTGTCATATGATAGCCTCTTCCCTGTAATTTTGCTCATGCTTCATCACGTACATTGTTGTCATATTCATACACTGCACAAACATGTAAAAATGCTCCAAGGGGCTTTCATGTAGCACCAGGTGTGTGTGAAGGGGTCCCTCAGAGGAGCATGATTTAAATTAGATGGCGAATGGGAGAAATTTGCTAGACATATGAAGATTGTGTGGAAAGTAAGAGTGCAGATGGCTCCTTTTTCTGTCAATTTCCTTCCCTGCTTACCCTCAGTCAACCAAATAAAATGTAAGAGAAAACATGCCCTCTGGATTTGTAAGGGAGGCTGAGAGCACTGCCTCATCTCATTCAAGAAGCAGCAATGTCTTTGGACCTTAAACCCAGGCTAAACGTAGAGTCCAAAAGGGCAGCAGAAAACTTACGTAATATAGGTAAAATAAAGGTAAATGACATATGCAATATAATACATCATAACAGCCCAGTAAGAAAAGAACACAAGACGACACGGGCCTCCTGTCTGAACATCCACTTTCTGTGGGGTTGTGTGGCTTTTCCTCCTCATGCTGGCTCCATCTCAGTTCCCTTGCTTGGGTTCTGTTGCTCAGCTTTGAAGAGTGTGAGATCAGATATTTCTAGGCTGTGTACACTTGCCTGTTCACTCTGCATCCAATGCGTTCCCACTGTAAGTTTGGGAAACAGTATAACAGTATATACATACAGTGGTACCTCGGGTTACATACGCTTCAGGTTACAGACTCCGCTAACCCAGAAATATTACCTCGGGTTAAGAACTTTGCTTCAGGATGAGAACAGAAATCGTGCTCCGGCGGCGTGGCGGCAGCGGGAGGCCTCATTAGCTAAAGTGGTGCTTCAGGTTAAGAACAATTTCAAGTTAAGTACGGACCTCTGGAACAAATTAAGTACTTAACCCGAGGTACCACTGTACGTTCACCACAATCCATATCTGTGTCCTGTCTTTTCTTGTGAAACCAGCTTCAATCTGAATTGAAGTAAAAAAACCAAACACAACCAACCTAGCTGTGTTTCAAGCCAATAATGTGTACACAGCCCTAATCTCCATTAGATGTTATTAGCGAGAGAACGTAACTATTCAATGTGGAGTGCTATGGAGAAATCATAGGATTTTGCTGGAAATATCACAAAAGCAGTATATGACCAAGCTGGTTGTTGGGAAGACAGCTAGAGCGTGGCTGGCCCAAAAGATTTTGCTGCCTGAGGCGGAACAGCAAACCCCCTGCAAGTCAAGGCTGGTCAAGTTATTTGGGCACCTGCAACAAAAAAATCCCAGAAGTGCCTTTCCCTGGGAATAATGTTTGGTGTGTCTGCACAGGATTTGAGCCTAAACAGGTGCAATGGTATTCCAAGGCAATGGAGTTTGAAAAATCCAATCTAAATCAGAGCACATGCATGTTCTAGGCATGGTTTGGCTGGATATGATGACAAAGGAGAGCTTTCTAAATTGCAAATAACTATGAGCCTAAAAAAAAAAGAATTCTGAATTTTAATTAGCACATTTTCTCATACGGTTTTTATTTCTGCCTTTGGGTTTTGGTAACTTCAGACTACGCCAGAACTGATGTTGACAGCCACACTTCAAAAATATGCTCTACTGCAGCTGAGATTGCAGTGTGTCTGATGCAGTTACAGAAGTTACAAAATCATGAATATGCAGATGCCAAAGAGGCACAAAGAACAGGTGGCAGATTTGCAAATTAGTTGAGGGCAAATCCCCTCTCTGCAAAACATCAGGGATGGATGTTAAACTGAATTTGAAATGTTGGCCAACATTTGAATTTGGAACATTCCTATTAATATTTAGCTGTGGGGGAAAGCAGCATAGTAAAACAAGCAGGTGTGTGTACTTTTTCTATTACGGTATATATAAAAGAAATCTGTACTGAGTTTGGGGGGCAGGCCAGATGCGTTAGGGTTTTTTTATGGTGTTTTAACAAAGAGACACTTCTCACTTGGGGAAAGCATGAGTTTAAACGTAAAACATTTACTTTTTCCTATGAGAAAATTCACAGGGGTTGGAATGGGATTAACAGCAACAGGGAAATCTCAAATGCCCAAGTGCTGCTTACTTACCCTTTGCTTCCACTTTTGCTAACTCCCCTCCTTTCATTCCTGTCCTGTAAAAGGCAGAATAAAATATAAATGTATCACAACTGTATTTGAGCAAATCCAGGTCACACAATTAAAGTTTATTGGAGCTCCGCACAACAAACTTGCTATTGTCAAAAAACCAGACTTTTTTGCAATAAGTTGGGGAAATGCACTGCAAAGTGTGGAAACTGCAGCAAGGAGCTCTGAAGGAAGACTGATTACCAACACTGCCTCCCCACCCCATTCTCATTTTGATAAACTGTAAAAAATGTAAAACCATCCAGAAGCCTTTTTCAGCTGGGTTGAGGAACTTCAGGCCCAGAGAACAAATGCGGACCTCCAGGTGTCTCTTTGTGGCCCTCAGCTCTCTCTCCCCACTAGCCTTGTCCCAAACCTCCCTGGAGTGCTTTTGCCTGGCTGGGATGTACTCTCAAACTGTGACAATGCCTCTTGTTTGACAGGACAGGTTGACCCTTTTTGCCACCTGAGGCAAAATGGGAAGGTGCCGTCCGGTGTGCCTTTTGCTCCCCACTTGTTGCGCCCACCAAAGCCCTGCTTATCAGGGTCACGTGGCCGAGGCTTCTGGTGAGATCTCACAAAAGCCCCTCAAAATTATGCAGAGGCCCCTGGAGGCCTCCATGAGATCTTGTGAGGGAAGCCACCGCAGCTTCTTATTCTCACTGGGAGAGAGGCACCCATGGAGGCATTCCTTGGATTCTGCTGCCTGTGGCACAGCAGCGTAGTTAGGGCTTTTGTGTTGTAAAGGGGTTTTGCTTTCCCCCTAATTTCTGGTATCCAATTCTTGCAAAATCCAGCAAGTCCTAAGAAACTTGCTTCTGGTAAACCTGAACCTTCTCCCTCGAGGCTCCTCAGTTTTGCTCCTGCTTCCACCCACTAAACAGCATGCGGCCCCACAAGGCAGAGATGTGTTCTCTGCCTGTTTTAAAACCATGAGGCTCCGTGTCAAGCCAGCAGCCCCATTTGTTCTGCGAAGGGCTTTGCCGCTTGTAGATGCTAAATATGTGGAAATTAAACTCTAGTTCCCATTTGCGGAAGACAGCCCTGGGTTGTTTGACTCTTTAATTAGTTCTCTTATCCCCAGTGGCGTAGCGTGGGTTGTCAGCACCCGGGGCAAGGCAAGTAATTTGCGCCCCCTAACCCGTGGATTTGCCCTAACCCCAGATGTTGCGCCCAGTGCGGCCGGCCCCCCTTGCACCCCCCACGCTATCCCTCCTATAAAAACTATGCAAGACAACTCTTTTTTTAAGTTTAAATGACATATAACATTTACTTTGTGTGCTTGCACTTGCAGATTATACAGTATACAATTATAAAATATAAAATGCAGGTGGGCGGGACTTAAGCAGCTATCTTCTTTTTAAAAGACATCTGAAGGCAGCCCTGTTTAGGGAAGTTTTTAATATTTAATGCTGTATTGTTTTTAACACTTGATTGGAAGCCGCCCAGAGTGGCTGGGGAAACTCAGCCAGACGGGCGGGGTATAAATAATAAATTATTATTATATTATTATTAAGTTGTTAATAGGACTCCAGACTGAGGCAGACGGCAACACACGTGTGCCGCCTTGCCTCCGTGATACAGGGGACTCAGGGCTGCATGATGTCAGTGTGCTTACATCAGCGTGCACACGGCAGAGCATGCTGACATGTGTGTGGACACCCTGTGGGTGCAGAAATTTGGGGGGGCAGCCCTCTCATTTTGAATTGGGTGTGTGCTTGGCTTCCCCCCCCCCCATTCTTTGCGACCGTGCCTGCACAACACAACGTAACTGCTAACTGCCATAACTGAACCAACTGCCATAACTGCCACAGAGCGTATGACGTCATAGTTCCACAGCTCTTGCAATTCACCCTTATACGTATGCATTTGGATGCTAACATCCCACGAAATATGGCCATTCGTTGCTTCTTATTTTTATTTTTTAGCAACCGGTGCTCCTCCCTGCAAGGAAGGAGACTGAGCAAATGCAACGGTCGACGAGTTCTGCGGCGGTTTGAGTCTTTCTGTCTGTCTCTCCAAAGCGCAGCCCCAGGGCAAAAGGTCACCCGCCTCTCCCCTCCCGCCCCGGCCTTCGAGCTCCCGCAAGAGCCAGCTAGGAACCTTTCGTCGCCGGTTCAGGGGCTGCCGGCGGGGCGGAAACAGAAACACCTGCGGCTTCCGGTGGGGCTGGTGCCTTGGCGCGGGGGACCGCGAGAGAAGGTGACCCCTTCCACAGGGGCGGAGTTCCGCTGGCGCCTCTCAGCTGCGAGCGATGCCTGCGCTGCGCGGAGCCGGCGCTGCCCTCTCGAGCGCGGCTGGCTCCTTCTTCCTCCGGCTCGCCTCCCCCAGGTGAGCGCCGCCGCCGCGGGAGCCTCGGGAGTCGGCAGGCGGCTTCACAAGCGCGCCGAGCCGGTGGAGTCTGGGCGTCGTTTGCACGCGCGTTGCTTCTGCTGCACCCAAGGGCGATTCCGTGGAGGCTGCAGCCCGAGCCACACTTGTTCGGGGTCAAAGCCCCGCAGAAGCCAGCGGCACCTTGACCTCTGGGCGTGGGGTCGATTGAGCCCGTAGCCCGGGCGACTTCTGCTCCCGAATTCGCACGTGCATCAGTTGAGACACGGGTTGAGTCTCTCTGCTCGTATTGGGAAGGCAGAGCACGCTCCGTTAGTATTCCTGATGATGGACGCAACTAAGTTTAGAGCGGGGGGACGGGACGAATCACGCTTATGTGTGTATTTGCGGCAGAGATTTTAAGCAAATTTTCATGCCCCTCACCAGGGAATCCTGGGAATTGCCTGTCCCTTAGCAGTCTACAGTTTCTATTATTCTTTGGGCAAAAACCTTACCCCACATGTGCTGGCTCGACCCATTCCGCATTTGTAAGAATAAAGTCGTTTACTGTGGCGGTACCCACACTTTGGAGCTCCCTGCCTCACGTTGAGATCAGGCAGGTGCTTTCACTGTATTCTTTGCTTAGAAAGTTGAACTAATTTTAATCTATTTTAGTATTTTAACTTTTGTATGTTTTGAAGTAGAGTTGTAATTTTTAAAAAATTACTGTCTTTTTATCATCGGCTTTGGGGGAATTTATTTTTTCTACAATCAAGCAGTGTACAGTATACATTTTATGAAATAAAACAAAAGCCATGACTAATATTAAACTACTTATATGAGTATAGATAACATTATTTGTATACAGTGGTACCTCTGGATGTGAACGGGATCCGTTCCGGAACCCCGTTCGCATCCTGAAGCAAACATAACGCACGACTGTGCATGCGTGGGTCACGTTTCGCCGCTTCCGCGCATGCGCACGACGTCATTTTGAGCACCTGCGCATGTGCGAGCAACAAAACCTGGAAGTAACACATTCTGTTACTTCCGGGTCGCCGCAGCGCGCAACCCAAAAGTGTTTAACCTGAAGCATATTCATCCTGAGTTATTACTGTAATAGAGTTGGGGGCAGCGGAAACCCACAAACCGATGAGTTCTGGTCTTCTTGCTACAAGCCAAGCCAGCGGCTACTAACCATGATGGGTATCTACTGCCTCCAATGGCAAAGGTAACATGCCTGTGAGTACATGTTGTACTGTTGTGCTGCTTCTGGGCTTCCCATAGACATCTGGTTGGCCCTTGTGAGAGCAGAATCCTGGACTAGAGGGGCCTTTGGCTTGTTCCAGCAGGGCTCTCCTCGTGTTCACCCATAAAGCACAGAAACACCCACAGTGATCAGCCTTCACAGTGGCACATTAAGAGCAGAAAGGCCAAACTGCTGATGAAATAATTCTTAAGACTCAAGGAAGTGAGCCATGGGACAAGCCAAAACTCATCAGCACTCCCACCCTGATCACATTTTCATTAGTCGTTTTGACCTGGGAAACACAAATACGTTGATCAGTCGAAACCTGTGTGTGCCAGAAGGTGGACTTGTATATAGCAAAAACCAGATGACCGAAATGCACTTGGGATTAACCCATCTGTTCTGCTAAATGACCAGTAGCCTTTGGCCTTCTCTGAACTGCCACCTGGTGGCAACTCTTCCATTAGGCTTACTGAACCATTACCTTCCTAGCTGATCATTATAAGAGCTGTAGCAAAACGACAAGTGTGTGTCCTGCTTTCTGCAGCATGTTGTGTGCAGAAATGAAACTTGTGCATCTCCACCTCATGGAGTCGATTTGGGTCCAGATACAGGAAGAGCTTGAGCTTCCTGCTTCTGCCATCTTCTGCATGCCAAGATAGGGTTCCCCACAATGCCTTTGATTCCACCTGTGCCCTGGGAAATGAGGCTGCAGGGATGTTTGCTGGTGGCCAGCTGCTGACTGCAGTAAGCCTGTTCACTAAGCCTGCTGCCCTTTCCCTTTAATAATCTTCATTCTTTCCACCACTCCCACCCCACCCTGATCACATTGCAGATAAGGATCCATTCAACTGCTTCAGCATCTTCAGTCCGGCCAGTGATTGCAGCCAAACAACCCTTTCCGGTGGACCTAGCAGCAGGGAAGCGTTATGCATGGTGTGCCTGCGGTCACAGCCAAAAGCAGGTAAACCACCTGTAGTCCTTTCAGATTTCCCACTGTATAAAAATCTTGTGAAATAAATAAATAAAATACTGCAGTTCTTGCATCTATGGGAACATGGTTTCCAAGAACAGAGAGGTTGCAGAAATCATTGCCTCAGCCCAACCAAAGTACCACTCAAAAAGTGGTGCTGGTTTTATTTACACAGTCCCAACTGATCTGCTAGGACTCTGATGGATCAACACCAAAACTGTAATGGAAACTCCATTGGCAGTGTGATGGGTGTGAGCGAGGGGGTTGTTTTGTGTTTTTTAAAAACTCTTACTTTTGTTTTGCTACGGCAGCCATTCTGTGACGGGTCCCATAATAGATGTGCCCCGGAAATCTCTCCCCTGAGATTCAAACTGGAGGAGGCAAAAGAGGCCTGGCTTTGTGGCTGCAAATACACCAAGAACCCTCCATACTGTGATGGCACCCACAAAGAAGATTTTGTGCAGAAAGCTGATCTCCATTCCCACCCACAGTTGTGCTGAAGGAAGGAGAGATCTTCATATACAGGGTTTCATATACAGAAACCGACTGAACGAATCAAGCATGCGGTACATGTATGTGCAGGTATGTTTCAATGGCTGGGAATTTGCCACTTTCTGTCCCTCCACCCCCATTTCTTTATCCTTAATTAAACTTTTTTATGAAAATAGAAATTAATATTTTTTTTTGTAATTCTGAATACCTTTGAGATTCCACCCCCACCCAAGCATGCAGTGAGCTCCCTCTTCTTGGGTGGTGGCATTTTAGTTATATCATGCTTGGCACTCACCACTAGATTTGAGAAATAGAGGAATAGCTAGGTTTGTTCCATAGCTAAATTTGCTTGTGTGAGCATAATGAGGTTTGCTGGCATCAAAGTCCACAGGGCTTGCTGTCCAAAGGCACAGCCTTCAATGTCCTTAGAACAGTTCTGCCACTCAGCGGAATGCCAACTTCTTGGGCGTCATCTCTGTTGATTAAGAAGCCAACCCTGTCAGCAATTCAGTGTTCCAGCCACATCAGGTACAAAGACCTGTGACAGGGCAGAGTGCAGAAGAGGAAAGTCAGATTTCATCATGCCAGGCTGCTTTCTGGCAGTCAATCCTAGCTACTTGTTTTAACTGCTTAGTGACATCTCGTTGGCACCTGCCTGTCTCAGGAGAATGAGTGCGCCTTTAGGAGTGAAGTCAAACTGTTGGAAGGTTACAGTGCCTGCTATAGCTGTAGAGACTGATATGGGAGAGACTTGTTTTGTTGCAGCTGGGGCAGATGAAGGCGTCCAGTTGTGCTGCTGCAAATGCACCATGACGTTTCGTCTGTGTTCCTACCAGCGGTCATTCCTCTATGCTCACTGCTATGGATGCATGACCTGACCGCCTCTCTGCAGGCACTGTGGTTGTCTGCAAGGGATTCCCACAGCAAGGTTAATGTTGCCAGCTGTCAAGTCTTGTTTGCAGACATCTCTATATTCTCACAGTCCTAGGAGTAAGGCAGATGTAGGGAACCTTCACCCCTCCAGCTGTTGCTGAACTATAACTCCCATCCTCCCTGGCCATTGCCACCCTTGACTGGGCCTGATGGGAGTTATAGGTCTTATTATTGCTTATTAAATTTGTTAAGCAACATCTAGGGACAGAGGTTCCCCACCCCTGGAGCAAGGGATTCCAATGGAACTTGAGTTTCTTCAACTTATTAGAAATTATAAGTGCTTCTCTTATTCTCAGTATTCTTTTCCAGTTCTTAATGCAGTAACAAACTTGCATGTGTTTACAGGATAGTCAAAGTGCATCAAGGCTGAGGAAGAAAACAGGAAAAGGGCAAGAGCTCTTCTGTCATCGAGATTTTTGTACGGTTACTCAGCTTCCTGGTCAGCTCACACATTCCAGCCTGTTCCCACTGTGTGCTAATGCAGGAAGCAAAACGCACGTCCCTGCTGCTCCTTGACCCACTTCCTAGAAGCTCGCTTTTCCCAGGAGCTTTTGACCTATCCTAGAACTGTTCCTCACAGAACCCTGGAGAACCTGTGTTGTATCAGGAAGGCTTAGGATGAAAAAACGTTCCAGTGGTTTGTGCTAAAAGGTTTTCAGAAAGTAAAAGAAGAATTGGGGCTTGGGAAGTGTTGTAAGTATTCAAGTTTTATTGGCATTTAAAATAAAATAAATAAAGCACCACGGTTTTTTTTAAAAACCCAGTGGGATTTTTTTTTAGAATTGCCATTAAATAAATATATATATATATCTTAACAAAATTCTGTACATTTGCATTTGTCAATCATTGACAGAATGTCCTTTGAGGTAAGGACTGAAGACCACCAGAATTAAATATAAAATAAATTAGGATAAAACTCTCAATAAAATAATATCATTAATGAAATAATGTATTCCAAGGGTTTTGCGAGTTAAATAGGTATAAATAAAGCAATGTCCTTCCATATTATCTTGTCACTGAATATGCATTGCTAAACTATATATATTTATGTTGGCAGCTTTGTTGTATACAACTGCTATGAGATATGAGAATCATGGTATAGTGTTATAATATATATATATATATATTATATATATATATATATAAATAAAACACAAAACAATGTCCTTAAAAAGTAAGAGATCCAGGCATGATGGTAAAGAGGAATGTTCTTCTGTAGACCAGGAAAGACGCCCCATACTTCAGTACATATGAGGCTATTCATCACGTGCAGCAAACTGCCTTGTGTGGTTGGACTGCAGCCTGTGGACTGTACAGTTTCTTCAACCGTTGCTCAAAGGCTGACACCATCCCCTTGGCTACCTCATCAAAGAAGAGGTTAGCCAGTTGGGAATGCAGAACTGACTTAAATTCAAAGGAGACCTGGGAGGGAGATAAAAACAATTAATACACTGATACATTGGGAGAAGAGAGGGGAGAAGAGGAGTATTACATACCCTCCAACACCTTGATAGCAAAATCTGGCACACAATCTTTAGGGATGCTATGCTCCCATTTTTTCCTGTGAGAGAATGGTGGCTATTTTGGATGCCATGATCTCACACAATTTCACGCCATTATTTTCCCCTGAAAAAAGTGCTTTGGGGGGACAGTGCCCCAAAACATGCCCCCCACAAAAAGCGCTTGAGGGTGGAATTGTGGAGTGAAATCGTGCAAGATTGTGGCATCCAAAATGGCTGCCGTTCTCCTGTGAGAAACAGTGGGGTGCCCCGTTTTTTCTGGGACACTTGCAGGGTATGGCGGTATTCCTATGCCAAGGTGAGCGGCCACATCTGGCAACCTTGGGCAGCTGTCAGGGCCCAATACCTGCCTTGGGGTCTACTTGGGAGAAGGGAAATTGGCCTAGTGCTCCAACAGGCATCTAGGTTTGCTATTTTAATTTTCCTCAATGCAGCATCACTCTTGGGCATTGGAGACAATTTATGTGGCAAATGAGTAAAATTTGATTCTTCAAATTTAGGGCTGTATTTTGCATTTCTGCATGCAGAATTTAAATTAATGAGAACATCAAGAGGAGGAGCTGTTGTTTTTAACCAGGTTTCTACTTCTTGTGGCTGTGAAGATACGTGGGTGAATGTGTAGGCCCAAATACTGAAAGTTGCACAAGTAGCTGAATAAGACTCCTAGCTGACACATCTCTGCTTATGAAAGGCAACCAATACTTTTTTTAAAAAAGGCAACTGTGGAAGTACCTAATCAATTAGTGACCCATATTGACAAAGCTGCAATAAATCCTCCAGCGTAATCTTTGAACCTATGATGAAACGGGACTTTGCCAACATGCGGCTCTTAGCACACATCCTATTGGCCTTGCAAGTCACACCCTCGCCAGGAGCTGGCATATGAAGGGCACTTACGTAAAACTTGAGCGTGCAGCTGCTGTCCTGCTGCCCTGGACGTCCTGGTTCAAACTGCCACAGTGTTTCCAGATGCTGAAACAACCGTCCATCATTACTCACAACCTGAAGGGTAGAGAAAACAGCACAGAGTTAGTGCTCACAGTTTTGAAATCAGTTCAGATACCCCAAAACACACTGCCATGAGTTCAACAAACCCGCTGTTGCAAGTTTTCATTTACCCTAGACAGATAGGAATTGGGACAAACTCTGCGGCTGAGTTTCCCACATTTGGGGAAATCACAGGGGTCAACACACCCGAAGTGCAGTGCATGAGCCTTATCCATTACTTTAGTATGCAGTAATCACTAATTTGAAATATTATAACAAACAACCAGAGTTACAGTATATGCAGTTTACTACGATTCAACCTGAGCACAGAATTTGATACTGGGTCCAGAATTCAGTAGCACAAGAATGTGGTCAAATGAGAAACTCTGTTTCTGCAGATGGAACTGTTCCAGGTAGTGATAAAGAGAAATTATATTCTGGAGTGAGGTAGCATGGGCAGCCTCGGTTCTCACCTTAACATAAAAAATGCGGAAACTATAGTCATCCTGATGCTGTTGGACCACAACTCCCATCAGCCCCATTCATTGAACATACTGGCTATGGCTGATGGGAGTTGGAGTCCATCAATCTCTGGAGGGGCACATTTTCCCACCCTGCCAGTGCCCATGCTTGGTGGGAGTGGGTGTGTGGGTGGGTGTACATTTTTAAAAACAACACAGCTTTGCAGTTTGTAATGAACCTCTGGCCACATGTACACCATACAATTAAATCACATTCTGCACCACCATGAGTCCTGGGAATTTGCCTACTGTGCTACCATTCCCAGCACCCTTACTAAATTGCAGTTGCCATGATTCTTTCCTGGAAGCCATGCACTTTGGGGTTTAAGTGTATGGTGTGTACATAGCCAGAGTTAGAAGCTGAGAAAGCAGTCTTGTGAGATGAAAGCACAGCACAATGGGTGCCCATCTCTCCCCCTTTCTGGAAATGTGATTTGAGACAGTGGATCTGCTGCTCTCTAGGAGAGTATATGTTCCTTGCTTTCTTTAAAACCAACCAATATATCTGTAAATAAAATTACAAGAACACTATACATCTCTAGGGCTCTCTCCTCTGATGAGAACACAAACCCAGCTAGGTCTGTCTGCCTCTCCTTGAAACACTTTTTTGCAATCCCAGGTCACAAAGGTGGAGATAACAGAAATCTCCACATCTATAGTTTCAACATTGCAGGCCCTCACACCAGCAAGTTCCAAAAGGCCCTGTGCTGGGAGCAACAGGACTCTTTGCTCTGGTGAATTAGCTTTTTGAAGTTTCCAGTGTCCACTGACATCATTTCTCCCTGGGTGTTGTTTATCGCCATGTGAAGGAAGCATGTGCCAGAGAGGGGAAGTGAGTCAAGGAGCTGCTACATCATAAAACTGAAAGCAGATTAAAACTGGTTTGATGGCAATAGCTTTCACCCGGCAAATTCCGGAAATCATAATCCTGGACCGCAAGTTACTAAGAAAAAATAACTCTCTGTGTTTGCTTGGCTTAACAGTTTTCAGAGTTCAGTGGAGGTAGCCTTGACAACTAAAACAACCCCACTTGACACAGGTGAACCCTTAGCCCAGGGGTCTGCAACCTTTAAGACAAAAAGAGCCACTTGGACCCATTTCCGAAGGAAAAAAAACTGGGAGCCGCAAAACTCGTCATTCAATCAATAGATTTTATTGCGTTAGCCGTGTGGCCATAGCATGATATACATAGAAATAACAACATAAAATGGGGGTGGGGAGATAAAGGTGGATATCGTCCTGGGCGAGTACTTAAAGAAAGGGGGGGGAAAGGGGGGGATAACAAAAGGGACAGGGGATTTAAAACATCGAGTGACAGATAGTACAAAAACAGAAAGACAAAAAACTGCTGAGGCTGGCGGAGGATCATTAAAGGGTCCTTCGGCTCCTCAGATTTGTCCTAGCTCCATTGTCCTTGTATAATAAGGCTACTTGGAACTTCGTTCGGTTGTGCAGCATATCGACTGCAGCTGTGGTGTTAAAGAAGAAGTTAGTGCCGCTTTCCTCTTCATCACACTGAGCAGGAAGTTAGCTGTCATCTCGGTAATCCAACAATCAGAATCCTGCAAAAAAAGGGACACTATCCAGGGCTGGATTGGGAGATGAAGCTTGTTCACGAGAGGAGTTAAAAACCGAGATCTTTCATCTGTCCAGTTGGGACAGAAGAGCATTACATGTTCCATAGTCTCCAGAGCCGTGTCATTACAGGTGCATGTTCTATTTGCGATGGGAACTCTGGAATAATGACCCGACAGAACTGCTGTAGGAAAACAGTTGAGACGGGCACAGGTAAAGGCCCTTCGCTTAGCCTCCGAAGAAATTGTGAAGCAGTATAGAGGGATCCCTTCAGGGGGTGGAATAGCTAGGGCTAGGCCTGAACACGGCCCTCTTGCATGGGCAGCTGTATTAGAGAAGTCAAGTTGCTGTAGCTTCTTTTTAATTGGAGGTAGGGCCGCCGGACTGATACACTCTAAGTTAAGAACAGTTTTGCAATTCAGATTGAGAAAAGAGCGGAGTTTGAGGTTAATTGTAGCTTTCCAGGGGGAATTATGAATATCTCTTAGGATCAGATTGGAAAAACCACCTCTAATTCGGGCATCCGATGCTAGTAGGTGGGAGCTATAGGAAATGGCTCGACTCCATGCTCGTTTTACAATTGAAGGCTGGGCGAACTCAAGTCGTAGGGCTGCACCTGAGACACATCTCGGGACGCCCGAAAGAGATCTCAGAAACATATGAAGTGGGCGATCCAAGTTACCTGATATTGCTGTAGTCCATACTTCACAGCCATATAATAATTTAGGGACAACTTTGGCATTAAATATTTGAATTGCTGCTGGAAGGTGTTTGCCGCCCTTCTGGTGGTAAAATCGGACAATGGCATTAGAGGTCGTGGTTGCAGCGAGAAAGGCAGATTGTAGATGGGTGGTCCAGGAGAGATTATAGGTGAATATTAAGCCTAGATATTTAAAGGCTTTTACCTTTTCTAAGTAGCCACCTGTGATCTTAAGCGGCTCCAGCTTGAGTTTGCGGGAACGAGTGAAGTGGAGGACTTTCGATTTTTTATAATTAATATTAAGAGCTTCCGCCTTACAATAGGCGATAAATGCATTAACTGTATTTGCTAGGTCCGCAGCTGTTCTGGATAAGATGACGGCGTCATCTGCATAGAAAAGGGAAATAATGGGGTGGCCTGCTAAGTGAGGAGGATACTTAGATGCTAGCTTCAAAGGGGAAATTGCATCATGAAGATAGAGATTAAACAGTAAAGGGGCCAAGAGACAACCTTGTCGGACGCCCTTGGCTGTTGGGAATGGAGTGGTAAGGGAGCCGTTGGGATCACTTCGGACGCAAGCTGTGGTGTTTGAATAAAGGGAAATAATTAGGGAGAGGAGGTGCGGATCAATTCCCAGATGGGCAAGTTTGGACCATAATCTCTGCCTAGGAATGGAATCAAAGGCGGCCTCCAGGTCCATGAAAGCGGCAAATAGGTGGCCTTGCCTTGGTGCAGTGTATTTACTGGCAAGGTGATAGAGAGTTAGACAGTGGTCCATGGTTGATGCTGACTTTCGAAAGCCAATCTGTTCTAGCGGTAGAATGTTCCTCTCCTGGACCCATGAAAGAAGTTCTTCCAGTAAAACAGCGGCAAATATTTTCCCCGGAATAGATAATAAACTGATGGGGCGATAGTTCCTAGGGATGTTTGGCTGGCCGCCTTTGAAGATCGGAACTATTATAGCTTCTCTCCAGGAGTCGGGGATGTCTAGGGCGGAGGAGATAGCGGTGAATACAGGAGTCAGCTGTTCGCTCCACCAATGAGGATCAGTCAGGAAAAGGTCCAACGGGACCATGTCTGGGCCGGGGGCCTTATTCCTTCGCATGGACATTATGATGTTGAAGATGCGAGTTGAGGTAAAGTTTATTGAGGAAGTGGGACTAAGAGAACAGGAACAGAGGTCCGACGGGGATTGAAGGAAATCTGTAAGATGATTTGGAGAAGCGAAACTGGTTGAATAATAGGCAATCCATTCATCAGCGGAAATCTGGGTAGCTGAGTTGAGTGGTGCCGAAGGTCTAACTAAGCGCCAGAAGGAGCGGGAGTCATGCCTCTCTACAGCCGAACGAAGAGTGGACCAAGCCTCAAGGATGTGCTGCTGTTTCTTGCAATGAATCATGTTTCTGTATGTCCTTTTAATATCTATGAGCTTTGCACGGGTTTGGGGGTCGTTGGAAAATTTGATGATTCTGACCATTTTCCTAATTCGCCTTCTTAGGGCTTTACATTCCTTGTCAAACCAAGGTGATTCAGAGAAGCGGCGTTGGTGGATAGGCGAGGTGGTGGTTATGTAAGTTGTTGAGAAAGCATCGATTAATTTCCGGTATTGGTCAGCGGGCAGAATTGGGTCAGAGGGAACTGCAGACATATCAAATGATTTTTGTATGTCCAGGGCAAGAGAGGAACTGAGGCTTGTCCATTTCTTTGTTTTGTATACAGGGTGGCTTTGTGCCGTGGAACTATAGTTTGAGGGGGCTGAAAATGGCTCTATTAGGTTTAACAATAGAGTCAATGGAAGGTGGTCACACCAAAATATTCAGCCACTTCCATTTTTGTAGAAATTGAAAATAGCTCCGGCGTCAATAGAATGTAGTCGACAACACTGGTTCCCCGGGAAGTGATGCACGTTAACTGCTGCGAGGACAAGGGAGTAATGTTACCATTCGCGATGCAGAGATCGTTTTCCATGGCCAATTGGGCCATCAGCCTCCCCGACGCATTTGTTATAGGATCAAGAGAGCATCTGTTTCCCCAGGGGGGCTGCAGGGGATTGTCCAGGAGTGCTGCGAGAGATAATATATCATCGTCGTTGGGACCTATTCTTGCATTAAAGTCGCCTAAGAGGATTTGAGGAAGTCCTGGGTTAGTTGTTTGAAGATCATGGAGCCAAGACGAAAGTTCAGACCACCTTTCATTGCGGTCGAAATCATTAATTACTGGGGGCAGATATACTGTAGTTATCAACCATGGGCTTTTGGTCTTTGGTAGATGGATCTTTATAGTGAGAAAGTAAGGGGAAGATTTAATTTCCTCGCAAATAGTGAGGGATAAACTGGTTGAAATAAGGCAGGCGAGGCCAACTTGGGGGCGACCCCTGTTGGTTAGTTTACGAGCACAGGAGCTAAAGGAGCAATAATTTGGGAGAGCGATACTTTGTTGGGACCAGGTCTCTTGGAGGCACACAATGTCAAAAGAAGAGATGAAGTTTATTGCCTC